TTCTTCCTTTTTGTTTCATTCCATGAAGTTTCAGCCTATACCACGACCCCTCATATCCGAGATCAAAAATAGAGTGGTAACATTAGCAAGCAGTTAATAGTTCTAACTGGGTTTGGAGCCTTCAAGTGCAGAGCAGGAAGTGTGAGGGCAAGGGTTATGAACTCTGGTGGGGGTGGTAGTCATACCCTTCAGATCACCCTGGAGAAAAGAGAGGTGAATTTTGTTTATAAAGGTCTTTGCCCACTTCTCAAAATAACTTTGTGGTATGTTTAATAAGAATGTAGAAAATTACCTTTCTTGGGGCACCTGGGTGGCTCAGTCGGTTGAGCATCTGACTTCGGCTCAGGTCATGATCTTGCGGTTTGTGAGTTCGATTCCCGCGTCCGGCTCTGTGCTGACAGCTCAGAGCCTGGAACCTGCCCCATATTCTGGGTCTCCCTCTCTCTCTGCCCCTCCCCCAGTAACTCTCTCTCTCTCTCTCTCTCTCTCTCTCTCTCTCTCTCTGTCTCCTTCAAAAATAAATAAACATTTTTTTTTAATTTTTAATGAAAATTACCTTTCTTTATAGAAGCAAAACAATAGTTCTTACAACAAAGAAGTAAATTTCACAAATCAGAGGATACAAGGTCAATATACAGAAATCATTTGCATTTCCTATATAGCTAGTAACCAATAACTTCAATAACCATAATTGAAATAAGAATATGGACAAGTTACCATTTTAATTTAATATTGATTACAGGTCATTCTACTTTATAAATTAAAACTGGGGTGTTATCAAACTATAAAGAAAACAGTTTTTTTCCTCAATTGAATAAAAAGGAAATAACTCTTTGATACACACAAACATGCTCTTGAGTTTCTTCTTCCTTTCCTGTATAATCTGAGGATTGTGCTTTTTAATAGTGGCTTGCTAATCCTTTTTAATAGCTCATAAAGTAAGTATTCCATAGTTTTCATTAACCTTGAATTTCAGCCTCTTTTTTTCTTAAACCTCAAAACCTACATATTTGGTTGCTGTTTGACTAGCACCCTTTTAGCCTGGTCGATGAAGCAGCAAGCCTACTGCAAATCCTAAATAACGTGGTGTAGATGAGAGCCTGAGACTTTAATTACATGTCATTTTACTCACAACACTCAATTCCAGGAAGGAAAAAATGACTTTGCTGTTGTAAAAGACATATTATGTGAGTATCATTCATTGTAAACCAAAAATGATACTGTATTAGAGCATAGACAACAATGGGAACTAATTCTGAAAATGTGACCTGTCTGGGAAACTGAATAATAGTGAAAGTTATCAAAATGGAAAGAAGTGTTAATGTGAAATCCAGCCTTCTCAGAAATACTCTTTCCTGGCCTGTTTGGTTTTGCTTTTGTTGCTTGTCATGCATGAATGAAAGTGCTACATACACTCTCAGGGGAGTAGGAAAGCCTCTGTCGGTTGTTTATTTCCTTAATCCCTCCTCCTTTGTGATTTTTGATGTCAGATCTAAAATGGAAAGCCTGTAAATATAATGATTATCACATGGATAATCACCTGCATTAGGAACCGCCCTGCTTCTCTATTCTAACCCTAGCTGTTCTCCACACGTCACATCCACTCTGCGGTTGGATTTTAACCTGACTGCTTCATTAGATTTGTGAAACTCAGTGCGTGGCGCCCTGGGGCAGCACAGATGGGGACATGCTTGTTTTCTTTTCTCACTTTCACTGCAAAGACACACTAAAAAGTCCTTTTCAATTTAGTGTGATCAGTTCACTTGGAATTAACCCTGATATTTGGAACCTGCCTTACTCTTCTGCCAACTGTCTATACCCCTTTTTCCTTCCCTACTTTCAGACCTACTGCCTTTTCTTTTTGTCCTTCCATGCAGTGAATCTGAGGACTAAAATTCTGGTTAAATTCTGACTGGGTCAAACTGTTCCCCTGTGTTGTTTTATTTGTTTTGCTAGGAGGGAAAAATAAATGTTGTTCCATCATTGTATCTGCAAACACCTTCAAATCAGAGGTTAGCTGTGGGAAAAGTCTGCAGTGATGTGAGCCAGCTGCCTTCTCTAATGGACTGACTGGGGGCACCAGCTCAAGATCAAAAGAAGGTGGGAGGAAGTCAGGAGATAAGATCTTTTTAAGCCATAGAACAAGTGCTTAGCTTTTCAGTGATAGGGCACAGCTCTGCAAACCTGTATGAGGGGGTGCTAAGATAAAAAACTGAGTTGACTTTTTTTCAGCATGTCCTTCCTCAATCAGAATATGTTGGTGCTTTGAATAGTTTACAGATGTGGAAGTGTCCTAGGGCCTTGTTTCCTTAAAGAATAATGATCTGACATTTATATATGTGTCTTCTTGCAATTAGTTCTACTGTACCATAACAGATCATAGTTAATTTCTTCTTATATCTGTGTGAGCAAAACTGGACATTAAAAAAGCAATTTAACTACTATATGTTGAATTTTGAGTTTTATGCCTTAGTGCAGTTTTAGTCATACGGATCCTTTTATTATTATTATTATTATTATTATTATTATTATTATTATTATTTTAGAGAAAGAGAGCACGCACACACATGAGCTGAGGAGAGAGGCAGAGGGAGAGAGAGAATCTCAAGCAGGCTCCACACTCAGCACAGAGCCCAATGTGGGTCTCAATCCCACGACCCTGGGATCGTGACCTGAGCTGAAATCAAGAGTCAAATGCACAACTGACTGAGCTACCTAAGCACCCCCATACAGATTCTTCATATTAATTTTGTCTTATAGTTCTCTGGGCTTCTTTCATGCCTCTGATGAAGATCTATATAAATGAGTCGTTGTAGCAGAGCTTTCAGTTGTCTTTTTGATAAAAGAATTATCTTGGTTAATTCTTGGATTGGACAGCTTGGAAAAATATTACATTGATATCATTTGAAACTTCTCCTTTTCTTTGACAGGCCAGCAAATATTATCGACTGTGTGGTGTACTATTATAAGCAAATTGTCAAAGAGGCTTGCTTGGACCAATTGTTAAGTTCATAATTCAGTTTTTTTAATCTACATCACTAAGGCTAACTCAATCAGCTTTATGCTTCCCTAGCGAACAGCCTAAGGAATTGTACTTTCAGCCTATCACTTTCTGTTAACTTAAGTGTTTAGCTTGTAGTCATCTATTTCAACCTTTTCAAACCCTCAAAATGGGTCTTCAAATCTATATGTCATTAGTACCTCGGACCATAAGAGTGCATACATACTTTTTTTCCCAGCGTTTTCCTTAACATGTAGATAGTACCCAGATTTGTGCTAGAGACACTGACTTACTTTCTGCCTTACATGGTTTGGTGCGGCAGTCGCTTCAGTTGAGTTGGATCTGCTCACTACTCAGGCTCAAATCCCATCCTTCTATTAATATCTCTTGGCAAAGATAATTTTGGAGGAATGTAAGTTAAGATGTAGAGGCTCTTGACAGTTGTCTGCAGTTTTTTTTTTTTTTTTTCATTTTCAAGAGGGAAGTTAAGTTGAAAAGTAATATTGCTTCTATTTTCTGTATCAGTCCTAAAATTAAAATATATGCAGAGTACAGAAAGAGAAAGGGTTTGGTTAAACAGATGTGTTTTTGTAATTTGATAGCCTGTTTTAAGAGCATTAGTGGTTATAGTAATGTTCATCAGATTGTGCCCTTAAGATATTCAGGAATCAAGAAAAACATTGTGAATTTAAAATTTTTAACTATTTTTTTTTAATGTTCAACTTCTGTCACCCCTGTCATCTATATAAAAGAGAAATTGGGGAGGAGGTAGACTGTTTGCTATAAAAGTTTTTAAACAGACAAAGTAAAAATACTGAATACATCTAGATTTAATCATTGTTAACATTTTGCCATTTTTACTTCACTTTAATTTTTTAAAGTATTATTAAGTAAATTACACATATCATGTCATTTTATTTCTAAATGCTTCAGAATAAACCTCTAAAATTAAGGACATTTACCTTATCAAATTAATAATTCCTATCATTATCGCCATCCTGTTTCATTATCAAATTTCTCTAATTGTCCCCAAAATGCCTTTCCTGGATGGTTTGTTCAAAACAGGATTCAGTTAAGGTCTGTACATTGCTCTTGGTCATTTTTCCCCTCCCCAGGTTATCATAAGATTGATTTATTGAAGATACCAAGCTATTTGTCTTATAGAATGTCCTACTTTATGGATTTTTCCATTTGCTTTCTCATTGTATCATTTAACTTGTTCTCCTATCCTCTGTATTTTCTGTAGACTGCTAGTTATTGAATTAAAGTTTTGAGTAATTAATGTCACAAATGAGGTCAGAAAACTTTATAGGTGATGCTGTGTCCTTTATACTGCATCGTAACAAGGCACAGAATATTTGGTGATTCCCTATTAATGACAAAAACTGATAGGATTGATCACTGGGATAAAGTGATGACAGCTTGATCCTCTCATTATAAAGTTATACTTTGCTCCCCGTGACCAGCATATAATCTGTGATATTTTGGTTCCATGAAACACCCAGCTTCCTGTCATCCTTTCACCTAATGAATTTAGCATCTATTGATGATCCTTGCCTGAATAAATTTCATTAGGGATTGCAAAATGATGATTTTATGAATCTATACATTTATTAGTAGACATTCTTCTCTACAGAAGAGCTTTCTGAAAGGTATTGTTTCAATTAAAAACACAACCACCAGTATGTTCCTTAGGTTTCAAATGATTGTCTTTCTTTGCTGGGGTCAAAACACCTGAACTCACTGTGACAGCTACAGTAAAAACACGCACTACATCTTCTTTATTCCAACTTGTGAAGTGTGTTGACATTATGCTGCCTTTTTTTTTTTTTCATGCCAAGGGAAAAAGAAATCTTTTTTGGCGTAAGAATAAAAATTGAACTATGTGGGTATATTGAGATAATTGTGTAAAAAGAAGACTGTATGAATGAGTTTCAAAATGGATTATTTCTTCATTACCTAGCACTTTATAATTAACTGTTCTTTTTTTTTATTTCAGGAAGCTGCCACTTTTGCTAGAGAGCAAGGCTTTGAGGTGAGTTAACCCACAATTGCACACTAAACAGATCCTAAAGGTTTTTTCTAGCTGATAATGAAGTTCTTTTGGACAGTGATTGATGTGCTATTATACTCTCAGAGCCTCGCAGCAGTTGCCATGGAAACTTGGCAGTCGTCATGGTTTCTTTGTTCTGCCAGCACAGTGTTATGACGCACTCTGCTAGGTCTGCACCCAACATCGCCTACAGATGTTATTTATTGAATTTTGAAAAGCCTCTTGGGAAGCCAAGAGGTTGGGCACGGTTTCAAGCTGCCTCTGCAGATATGGGGCCTGTCAGTTTGTTCAGTTAAAAAGCTACCTCATTAGCTGTATTACATTTCATAAGGATTCACTGCTAAAGCAGTGGTGGAGCAAGACTAAATAGTGAAATATAATGTCATTTAAATAATTTCACCCCTACCACATGTAGATTATCATTATGCAAATTAATTTCCAAAGGTTGTACTTAACAGTTGTTAGGGACTGATTAATTTAAATCCCACTCATATAAACTTCCTGTTTTAATCTTCTTTTTTCTTCTCTCACTCTCTCTCTTTTTCTTGCATAAATGTATATAAATTTTCTGAAACCAAATATCAATAATTGGTTTTAATTTCTAGGTCCTAATTTTGTTTTCCTAGTAGAAGTATTAGCTGTCAAGATTCAAAACTCCATGTGGTTGTTGTTGGCAAAATTAAGACAGATAACACCATGTTTTTATCTATATAATATCTATCTTCCAGTTGATTATTAGAAAACATTGACTTTAATCTGAACCCAGGTTAACTGACAGAGAATTCATAAACTGAGTTTATAAGTTTTATGACTCTCATATATATTGAGACAGAACTATGTAGAATGCTGTGTTCTGTACAGCAACTTGGAATGTTGCATGGTAGTAATTTTAAAAAATTAAACTAACTATTTACATGCTCAGTATTGTTGACCATCTAGAAAACCTGTGAGCATTGATTGGATGTATCAGTAATCTCACTTTGAACTGTTCAGAGAAAAGTGTCGTATGAATTTGTGATGGAACAGTTATTTAAATGTACTAAGGGAAGATTCATTATCGAGCAACAGAGTAATACACATGCATGTTATCCATGTCATACATAGGACTTGACAGCCAGACATAAAGCTTCCTCTTCCTGGAGGAAGACATTGAATTTGTGGTATAAGTATTCTATGAAAAAACTAGATCCTATGCAAACTAACTTTTTCTGTTTTCTACTAACTGGCATCATATTAACCTTTGCATTAATTCTTATTTACTGATTCTAGAATTGTTTCTTTTTACCATAAATCTGCCATAATTGATTACAGCAGATAAACCAAGTGATGATGTTTATAATAGTATATCTTACTACCTTCTAACATAGCAAAACTGCTCTGTTGGTAATGTTGACAGTAATATGTTAAATTAGATAAAGCACACCATGTCTTGATGTTTCCCTTCATGAGTTTCCGAAAATACTCCAAGCATTGTAGAATATATAAGAGCCATGAGTAGAATATTTTTGTTAATAAATGTAACCCATATGTGGAATCCTATCTAGAGGAATTCAGTGATTTTAAAATGTCATTAAATTTTCCTTAGTCCATTAGACAGTAATAGGAAAGCATAAGTTTGAAGCTTCGTGTTTTTAAAGAATCAAAAAAGAATAAATCACTTTATCTTAACACTTTAATATCTATAGAATCACTTCTCAGCCTTTTGGCTAAGATCAAGTGTAATACCTATAGAAATGTGTCAGTGCTCTCAGGTCTACTGTGACAAACTAGACAAAATCTGCATTTTATCCCTCTCAACTTTAATTTTACCTCTAAACTGGGGCACGAGTGAGGAAAGAAATGAAAAGATTAAAAAGAAAGGTGAGCATTTTTTTTTCTACTGGCTCTGCTGTTCTACCATCATTTCTATTATAAATCCCAATCAGTTCCCAAAGCCACTGAATATTGCAACTAGTGATATGTCTGTTAACAGACCAGTCCAAAAGCCTCTAAAAATAACCAGTATTTATTTATCAGGAAATATCTTCAGTAGCATTGTTTATGATATTCTGGTTAGCTTCTCTGCAAATTTTAGATAATCTTTCTTTTTTAAAAAATCTTTAATCTTTAAAATGAATTGGGCAATTTTCAGTAAGAAGAGGCAGCTTAGGAGAGCACTGGAGAATGAGATAAAAACTGGAGCTGGGCAAAGCACAAAGCAGAAGAGAGAGGAGATATATATATATATATATATATATATGATGGAAAATTGCGTAGTGCCTGATTCAAATGACAGACCTGCTAAGAATTTAAAATGACAATTCTTGAGGTAAAAAGTTTCATGAGGCCTTTTATTATTCTGGAAAATCAGTTCAGACTGCAATGTGTTTTTAAATCTACTTTATCTTGAACTGAACCAATTAAAGGTTTATATTTTTAGAACCCAAATAAAAATAAGATACTTAAAAATATGTTTCATTATTAAACCTTTTAAAAGCAGTATTGAAAATTGATTTAAATTAAATAAAGAAAATACCTCCAAAACTTAAATATAATATTCTTTGTATTTTCGTCCTTTGTGCAATAGACTATGTGCCAAATGATGAAAATAATACATACCTTCTCTGCTGAGTCATTTATTCAGTTTTACTCCAAGCAATGAATTTTAGTTTTATTTTAGATCTCTAAGTTACATTACTTCTGACCATAGAGAAAACAAAGCAATCGTTTTCCCTTTTCCAACTTCCCCACAGCCCCTGACTCTATCCAGAGGATCCTAGGCTTGTAATCTGTATCTGACCATTGATGACTGTATGATCTTATACCACTGAGACAGGAAAGTTTTGAATTGTGCTATCCAATACAGCATCTGTTAGCCACAAAATTAATTAAAATTAAATAAAATTTAAAATTCAGTTCCTAAATCTCAGTAGACAGATTTCAAGTGCTCTCTATAGCCTTTGTAGCTTGGGACTGCCATATTAGTACAGATATAGATCATATCTACCATCACAGAAAATTCCATTGATCAGCATTGGATAGAAAGTCCATAGAGTATTCAGGAGGTATTGATTCCCAAAGAATTCTCCAAAATTTTTCTGAGGTTCTTGTGTTCCTCACAAATGCAAAGGATACAATGAATGATCACCTAGAGTTTCTGGAAATAAGACACTAAGTTAGGTCCTGCTGGCTAAGAGAGTACAATGCAGCTTTTCTAGGTGACTAAGTCCCCAAAGAGGACAGTTTTTTTTTTTTTATTAAATATATTTTATTGTCAAATTGGTTTCCATACAACACCCAGTGCTCATCCCAACAGGTGCCCTCAAAGAGGACAGTTTTATTTTTTTTTAATTTTTTTTAACGTTTTTATTTATTTTTGAGACAGAGAGAGACAGAGCATGAATGGGAGAGAGGCAGAGACAGAGGGAGACACAGAATCGGAAGCAGGCTCCAGGCTCTGAGCCATCAGCCCAGAGCCCGACGCGGGGCTCGAACTCACGGACCGTGAGATCGTGACCTGAGCTGAAGTCGGACGCTTAACCGACTGAGCCACCCAGGCGCCCCAAAGAGGACAGTTTTAAAACAGTAGATTAACAGAAAGAGATAAGATAGTCTTTTAATTATCTTCATTTAATCATTTGTTCATTCAGTAAATAGTTACTGAGCACTAACTCTGGGCCTAACACCCTGATAGACCCTAAACTCAAGATAGAAGTGACCAGAGAGTATACTGTGAAGGAGAACATGGGAGGGGTTCTTATTTTAGATATGATAGTCATAGAATGACTCTCTGAGGAAAGTAAAACTTGAAAAATATGGATATCTAGCATTGACAGAAAAAAACAAAACAAAGAAACAACAGGGAAACAAATTTCAAACAGAGGGAACAAGAGTACACAGTCCCCCAAAGGAGAAGGAGCATAATGTACTGTGTAGTCCAAGAGCTGAGAGAAGGCCAATGTGCCTGGAATGAAGAGAGGAGAAAGAGGTAGTAGGAGATAAGACTGGACACTGACACATCATGTGCGCACCATAATTATTATAGGAGTTTCTATTTGGAAAACAAAAGAATGTGATATGGTTAAGTGAGGCACTGTGGGAGCCCCACAATTGGTATTCTCTAGGAGTAGGTAGATTGTGACAGTATTAACATGTGGATCATCAGCTTGTTAAAAATGGAATGAAGAGGGTATATTCTTTAATTTGGAAGACAATGCTAAATTTAAGGTGTGTGATCACCAGTGACAATAAAAGCATAATTTAGCATTTATAAAATGCTTCACAGTTTATGAAACCTTTTCCAACATATAATTAATACATTTAATATTCACACAAGCCTTTTGGGTTTCAGTGGGGCATGTATTGCCCTATCAGTTCAACAGATGGAAAATAGGCTACATGACTTGTGCAGGATCACACATAGCTAATATATAATGGAGCCAGAACCAGAGCCAGCTCTTTAAGTCTTGTACTCTTTACTATACAAACTACACTTCTTTCTTTCTCACATCCTAACATATTGGAGGAGGAGATTAGATTTCCAAATGACCTTGGAAAATGAAAAATATCTTGAAAGTTAAAAACTGAAATCACTAGGGTAAAATACAAGCCAGAATAATTAAGAGGAAAAAAATAGCAAACTTAAATACAGGATCATCAGTGACTTGTGCATGTGACAGAAAAATGATTTCAATTGAACATGCTATCATTTTGTGATAACAACAGAAAACACATTGCCAGAATTCAAAGAAGCAGTATAATCTGTGGAGCATGGAATATTGGTTAAGGGTATAATTTCTGGAGTCAGGCTTTGTAGATGCTAGCCCTGGTTGTACACTTAGAATATTTATGACCTTAAGAAGCTTCTTAACTTCTCCGTGACTCAATGTCTTCACCTACAAAATGAGGATATAGTAATAATACCTACTGCCATAGAAGTTAAGATTTAATGAGCACTTTAGAGCTACATACATGGCTCATAACTAAATTATATGAGCTTTCTTCTACTTTTTCCCCTTTTTCCTTTTTCTCCTCCCTTATTAGATACTATAATTGAATTCCCAATACTCAAAACTCTTGAAGTCCTTTCTAGAGATTTTGGGGCAACCGCAGGATATGAGTTTTGGAGAGTATTAAAGATGGTTATTAGAGGAAAGAAATGAACATTTATTAAGTACTTAGCACTTGTTAAATATGGCATTAAGCTCTTTCACTTACCTTCTTTCATCCTCACAACAATTATTTTCAACTTTTTATTTTGAAATAATTCTAGAAATAATTCTAGACTTAGAAAATTTGCAAAACTAGTACACTCAGCTTTCCCTAATGTAACATCTTACACAGGTGAAGGTATATTGATCAAAACCAGAAAATTAACATTAGTGTGATACTGGTAACTGAACTACAGTCCTTATTCTGATTTCACCAGTTTCCTCTTAATTTCTTTTCTCTGTTCAAGAATCTAATCCAGGAAAACAAATTGCATTTGTCATGTCTCCTTTGTCTCTTCCTATCTGTGACAGTTTCTCATTCTTTTCTTGTTCATGATCTTGATCCTTTTGAAGAATATTTGTCAATCATTTTATAGAATATCCCTCAATTTGAGTTTCTCTGATATTTTCTGTTAATTAAGTTGAGGGTATGCAATTTTGCCAGAAATACCACAGAGGTGATTTGCCCTTCTCAGTGCATCATTATCAGGAATATAAATGATGTCCCATTGTCTTACTTATTTGTCTTACTTATTGTTGGTGACATTAACTTTCGTCACTGGGTTAAGGTGGTATTTGCCAGTTTATTTTTTATAAAGTTACTATTTTATCACTGCATTTAATAAACATCTTGATGATATTTGGGGACTGTACAAAAATCTTGTTTCACCTACTAATTAAAATTTGTAATGAGTAAGTATCTTAGGGGAAATACTTTGAGACTATGCACATATCCTGATTCTCTTCAAATTTTTGCCCACTAATTCTAAGCATATTTCTTTCTTTTTTAAAATGTTTATTTATTTATTTTGAGAGAGAAAGAGCAAAGGAGAGACAGAGAGAGGGAGAGAGAGAGAATCCCAAGCACTTTGCATGGTATCAGCACAGATATCAGAACTCGAACCCACAAACTGCAAGATGAGCTGGAACCAGGAATTGGACACTTAACTGTCTGAGCCACCCAGGCACCCCACTTCCCAACATCTTTTAGCATAAATATTTTCTTAGTTTTATAGATGAGGAAGTGCAGCCTCACAAAGGTTTATTTACCTACTCAAAGTACACAGATCTAGGTGTGTCACACTCTCAAGTCCTTGTAATTTCATAATTCTGTTAAGATGCTAGCACAAGTATAAGAGAGAAGAATCTATGGGGAGGTGGGGGTGGCTGCAGAACTAGGAAGATATAACTTTGAGAAAACAAAATTGAGGTTTTAAGAAAAGTTTCCATCCTAGATTGGGCTCAACTATTGAAGCCAAAGCAGTGGCTCTTTGAGGCACAGTAAGAAATTTAGATCTGGTATTACTGACAGTGATTCCAGAGTGACAGAAGGATTTTGTATGAACCGTGGACATGGATACAATTAGAATAAAGTTTAACCATTCTGTAAAGATTTGTGTTTTATATTTGGGAAATTTATTTCAATCTTGAATTGCCAGTTTTATAAAATTTAATTTGAGACATAAGAAAGGTTTCTTTGATTAAGTTACTCAAACTCCCATAAAATATATATATCTTCCCATTGGCCAGAAGACAACTGTGGAATCTCATTCTTAATTTATTCCTTATACCACATTGAAGAAAGACCTCTATTTAAAAAACATCCACTACATACATCGGATTCTGATGATGATTGATTGATTGAATGTGGCTCTGGGCTTTGCCCCTTTATCTTTATTAAATATGAACTGTACCCAATCAAGCAAAAATCGACAGTAGTAAAACTTAAGTGTGCTAAGGAGATTGGGGGAATATATATCAGTCATTTTTTTTTTTAATTTTTTTTTCAACGTTTATTTATTTTTGGGACAGAGAGAGACAGAGCATGAACGGGGGAGGGGCAGAGAGAGAGAGAGACACAGAATCGGAAACAGGCTCCAGGCTCTGAGCCATCAGCCCAGAGCCCGACGCGGGGCTCGAACTCACGGACCGCGAGATCGTGACCTGGCTGAAGTCGGACGCTTAACCGACTGCGCCACCCAGGCGTCCCTATGTCAGTCATTTTAATTAATGTATACATTTATTTGAGAGAGTGAAAATGTCATTATGTGGCCTTTGTTTTTCTTTTTTTTAGTCCTTTCAGCTGTTACTAGTCATTTCTGATAGTCTTTCCCTAAAACTGAGGGAATTCCTTTTCTCAGATATCAGAGTTCAGGCTTAGTTTTGTTCTAAAATAAGCAACCCAAAGTGAAACAGTCAGCATGTTTGAAAGGTCAGCAGCATTGTCTTACCATACGTGGCTATTCTTTTCAAAAACATCAGTGGTCCGGAATCGTCACGTTAGGTGCAGTAGAAGCTTGGATGCATGTATTATCTGGAATTTCTTAAGTATGTAGTGAACAAACAACATCGAATATTTCACTAAAGATTTTCATACCTTTAAAAATGTCATAGTTGCTGATGTTCTTTGTAACCATTATGACTTGTCTACCTTGATTACCTAAATTTTTCTGTCCTGTATATTCTAATTCACTTCCTTGATACCACTCATATATTTCTCCTCTAGTATGTGTTTCTCTCTCCATAACTGTTTGAAACTACACACGAGAGAGTACCAAAAAGGCCAAACCATGCATGGTTTAGAGGGCCACTGAATTCAGACATGGATTTTTTAATTATTTTAAAATTGCTGAAAACATGATTCCAAGAATCCTACTGATAATAGCTCAAGAGTTAGATTTCAAGTCAGAACAGTTAAGATGTAAAACTTCATGGCCTATGTGATGTGAAAAATAGCATCAGTTTTCTAGAATTAATTTGTTATGTTTTTAACTTTATCTTCTTTAAATAAAATTAAGTCTGTAGGAAATAGCATCTCTTTCATTTTTCTTTGAAAATTTTGGCATTTTAGCAACATTATTTCCAGAGTCAGCATAATTCTGTAAACCTCTAAAATAATTCAATATTCCTTTTTTATTTTTTACAAATCTCTCTTTAACTGGAAATTTGAATATTGGCTATTTGCTGCTATTAAGAAATTATTAATTTATGGGGCGCCTGGGTGGCGCAGTCGGTTAAGCGTCCGACTTCAGCCAGGTCACGATCTCGCGGTCTGTGAGTCCGAGCCCCGCGTCGGGCTCTGGGCTGATGGCTCAGAGCCTGGAGCCTGTTTCCCATTCTGTGTCTCCCTCTCTCTCTGCCCCTCCCCCGTTCATGCTCTGTCTCTCTCTGTCGCAAAAATAAATAAACGTTGAAAAAAAAAGAAATTATTAATTTAAAAAAATATACTAGTATGTGGTTATGTTTAAACCATTACCTCTCAGGGATACATAATAAAACATTTATGGATAACATTATTTTGTATCTGGGATTTGCTTGAGAATAATATGAAAGGCAAGTGGGTAAAACTATAGATAAAAATTATCACAAATTTAAAATTGTTGGGGCCACTTGGGTGGCTAGGTTGTTTAAGGGGCTGACTCTTGATTTCAGCTCAGGTCATGATCTCACAGTTTGTAGAATTGGGCCTAGCATCAGCTTGGGATTCTCTCTCTCCCTCTCTCTCTCTGCCCCTCCCCTGCTCATGGTCACACTCTTTCTTTCTTTCAAAATAAATGAATAAACTTTTTAAAAAAATAAATAAAATGTTTTCAACTTGATGGTGGGTTCCTTGGAGGTTATTGTACTATTCTATTTACTTTTGTATGTAGTTAAAATTCTTATAGTAGGGGTACATATCTCTCCTATTTTGAGCATGAGAAGCTAAATCCTTAAACTACTAGTAAGTTTTGCTTTATTGTACTGGTTATGAGAACTTTTTCCTCTTCTCTATTAATAGACTGAAGACATTAAAGAAATAGCCAAAAAGACACAAGCTCTGCCAAAGGTGAATCCGAAGAGGCAGCGAATCGTGATTTTCACCCAAGGAAGAGAGGATACTATAATGGCTACAGGTACATGTGGAAATTGTATGAGAAACCCAGTATTATGAAGATTAATTGTAACAAAATTCTATATTCTTGATATTATAATTTATTTGAAAATAGCATACTTTCTTTTCTGTTTTTTTACCACCTTCATGCATTTCACTGACCCCATCCCCACCCCTGCCTTTGGCAAACACCTATCTGTTGTCTGTATTTATGAGTTCAGTTTTGGGGTTTTTTTATTTTTTGTTTGTTTCTTTGTTTTAGATTCCACATACAAGTGAGATCATACAGTATTTTCTTTCTTTCTCTGAGTGATTTCACTTTGTATAATGCCCTCAAGGTTCATTCATATTGTTTAAATGGCAGGATTTTCTTCTCTTTTTTTTATGGCTGACTGATATTCCATTGTGTCTGTGTCCATTGGATACTTAGCTATTGTCTTAGCTATTATAAATAGTGCTGCAATGAACATGGGGGCATAGATTTCTTTTTGAGTTAGTGTTTTTGTTTCTTTTGGATAAATACCCAGAAATGGAATTGCAGATCATATGGTAGTTCTATTTTTAATTTTTTGAGGAACGTTCATACTGTTTTTCTATAGCGACTGCACCAATTTACAGTCCCACCAAGAGTACATAAGTGTTTCTTTTTCTCCGTGTCCTCACCAACATTTATTTCTTATCTTTTTGATAATAGGCATCCTAACAGCTGTGAGGTGATATCTCATTGTGGTTTTGATTTGCATTTCCCTGATGATTGCTGATGTTGAGCATCTTTTTGTGTACCTGTTGACCATCCATAATAATGATCTAGTTTCGTTCTTTTGCATGTGGCTGTACAATTTTCCCAGCACCATCTATTGAAGACTGTCCCTTACCCATTGTATATTTTTTACTTTTTTGTCATAAATTGATTAATCATTTAGGGATGGGTTTATTTCTGGACTCTCTGTTATGTTCCATTGATACATGTGTCTGTCTGTTTTTATGTAAGTACCATACTGATTTGATTACTAGATCTAATATAGTTTGAAATCAGGAAGTGTGATGCCTCCAGCCTTGTTCTTCTTTCTCAAGATTGCTTTGACTATATAGGGTCTTATGTATTTCTTTTGATGGTTAGTTGGTTGGGGTTCTTTTTTACTATTTTTACCCTCCCCTCCCCCCGCCCAGACACTTTTTGTGGTTCTGTATAAATTTTAAGGTTGTTTGTTCTATTTCTGTGAAAATGTACCTTTTGTAGTGTTTTTATTTTAATTTATTTTAAGTTTACTTATTTATTTTGAGAGAGAGAGAAAGCAGGAGAGGGGCAGAGAAAGAGAGGGAGAGAGAGAATCTCAAGCAGTCTCTACACCATCAGCATGGAGCACATGCGGGGCTTGAACTCACAAACTGTAATATCATAACCTGAGCCGAAGTTGGACACTTAACCTACTGAGCCACCCAGATGCCTCTGTTCTTATTTTAATAAGTAAACCTACCTTCTATCTCAGTAGAAAAGATTTCATTTTCAAGAAGGTAATTTATTAAAATTCAGTTGAGTAAATCCACTTTGATTTAGTTTATTTACTTTAATATTTTGGGAATATTGTCAGTCTAATCATGTCTTTCCTAAAAAAAAAGTTTTACTTAGTAAATTCCTGTACTTGCTTAAATGAATTTATCCAATTATGAACAAATAAAATCCACAGATAAGTTACTTCCTCAGTTTTAAACTTCAAGAAGAAAACCTCACTTATCTTACAGATATAGGAGTTTCATCTAGTAAACAAATATTTTATTGGTTAAAATGATTAATATCATTAGTGTGATGAAAACTATTCAAGCCAAATATAAACCTGTTAATTCTGTGTGAACCAGTAAGATTAAAACTTGTCAGTTAACTAATAATTATTATAAACAGTAGCAATTATTACCTTTGTGTTTTTTCAATATACTGCTAAACAGAAATTCAAGATATAAGCCTTAAACATCTAACTAGGAAATAAAATTAATACACATAAAAATGTAAATACAAAGAAGTAAAATTACACTTATTCATTATTGGTACAGATTATATGGGTTGTATTGACTCAGAAAGGAGACTGATCAATAAAGCCAAAAGAAAGATGTTATAGTGAATTTTTCTTGAATTTAATATTTAAGCCTGAAAAGGGTCAAAAAAAGAAATGAGTGTCAATTTTGGGTAAGAAGAGGCCTTAGAATTTATTCATTCCAACTTTCTTACTTTAGAATTGTCAAAAACAAGATTCAAACGCTTACTTAAAAAATATTTATTTCAGGAGTGCCTGGGTGGCTTAGTCAGTTGAGCATCCAACTCTGATCTCGGCTCAGGTCATGATCTCACAGTTCATGAGTTCAAGACCCACGTGGAGGTTTGTGCTGACAGCACGGAGCCTGCTCGGGATTCTGTCTCACTCTCTCTGCTCCTCCCCTGTTCACACATGCTCTTTGTCTAAAATAAATAAATAAACAAACAAACAAACTTAAAAAATATATTTATTTCAAAATAATCCAGTGAGTGACAAATAGTGGAGTTATAAATGAAATGGTGATGGGTATATGTGGGGTGGTCATTATGTTATTACTTCCACTTGTGTATATATTTACAATTTTTCCGTGATTAAAAGTATAAAAAAACAGAAAGACAGAAAAATAAAAACTAATTTTCAATCAAGATCAGAGATACTAAGTAATTTTCCTAAGATACATTGATATCCTTGCTAAGCCTTGAATTCTAGGAAGGATTTAAAGCAAGGAGAGCAATCTAGTCATATGAGTGAAGAGGACCATATGAGCAAAGGCATCAGGTACCATATAATCTTTAATTGTTGTGACAGAAAAAGCCACGCTGTTAATTTGTGCAAGAGAGAAAAGAAATAAATCATGAAAAGATATCCCTGCATTGATAATAACTATCTGGATTGTCTTCATGTAGTAGGTGGCCTGTTCCTGTCTTAGCAATGAACACTGCTTGGAAAAGTGAAAAACATGGAGACTTCTTATCTTACAGGACTGTAGTACTGCCTTCAGATTCATAAAATTCTACTTGGTTGCTCTTTCTGGAGACATTTATTTTAAGGCTTTATATATTCTAGATATACATAGTGTACAAGTGTCTTCCTCATTGTGAATTTATACAATTTCCCCAAAACTGAAATCTTTAAAATTAGTCCCCCCCTTCCTGTGACTCAATTTCTTTGTCAACTCATTTTGTTCTTTATGAAATCTATTAAACCATTCTTAGGAATACTTACTGGCAAGAATGTATTTGAGGAAAGACATTGGCTAATCTTTACTCTTCATACTATATGAAAATGAACTTAAATTAGAGGATGCACTGTATCTGCAATGCATGATAAATACAAGATGGATAGAGAATCTGTTCAGCGGTGTCAGCTACAAAAGCAAACATGATAAATGTTAATGCAGTTTTGAGCCCTGGGATAAGCTATTCAGTGCACAAGCATAGCTGAATCTCTTTGCTATGTTGTTATTCATGGCAGCCAAATAAATGTCAATAATAAAAGAGAATTAAAGATTTTCATTTCCCAGAGGCAATCCTCTAATACGGCTTGATCTTTCATTTCATTTGTAATTCGTTCTCATGTCAGGATGCAATCATTCGCCAGGCTCTGGGTGTCATGTTAAGTCATTTAATAATGATTAAGAACATAAAAATGCTTGGCCTGTGGGGCAATTCACAGAAGAGATGCCAATTTGTTATTGTTTTTCCTCCTTTGCTTTTGAATATGGATCAGCTTTTTCCCACCTCCTAGCATTAAAATACTAATGGAGAATGGGGAGGGAAAGTATCCCTTAATTTACCATAAGTGACATTCCAGAATGGCACAAGGCAGTGCTAACACACTTATTAAAACACTAATTAGGAATCATTGTTCCTTAAACCTCACAATGTGGAGTATTTTTAAATGATCACTGCTAAGTTTGTGTCATTTAGCAATAATGTAACAAAGTCAGTTTTCTTGGTATTTAATTCTAGAGACGTTTCTCCTTTTGAGATATATATGGTGTCTATAAGCCACTTTCTGTTATTTTATACATGTAGTTCTTTGAATTCCTCTTTGCTAAATTGTCTGTGAATCTAAAGTCTTTAACATCCTGTTTGGTCACCTCTATTTCAGTTGAGTCTCCATTTTGTATATCCATCTGCCGAGAAGTTTTGTCACATATCAACCATTGTATCATTGCTTGCAGGCTAATTGAGTTCCAACCTTTTTTGGAGGAGTGCTGGGGTGGGGGTGGCAGGGAGCACTGGAAAGTAATAAGAGTAAGAAGCCAGGAATGACAGGCAGGAAAGAAAATATGATTCTATACACTTTGAACCTTTTAATAAATGTTGAATGAACCTGTTAGGTAGCACAAGAGTCAGGTCAAGGAAGTCATTCCTGTGTTTATAAACTGTAGAAAAACTAAGACTATAGATTTTTATTTCCTACTGGACAGCAATTACTAATGAGATCTTCATATATCAATACCTTATTATATTAACAATTGTAGTAAAAATGAATATTTTATATACATGCATATATACAGAATACATACACATATACAGACATATATGTCTTTATAGAAAGTTTATGTTTCTCCAGGTTTCTGTACTACATATATCACTAAAAGTTGGAAAAAGCAATAGGATTTTTATTCTAAATTGAAAATAATGCATTTCACACTTTTGCTCTTATGTGACACAATGAAATAGGTCCACTCCAGAATAAATTGTAGACTTTTCTGAATACTTTCAGAATTCTTTCTGGTCTGTTTGAATTTTGATTTTTGCCAAACGGAAGAAAATAGATTAGGTCAAAAGTTTCATGTGGAAGACAGGGGCTACCATGTCAGAATCACCTGGTGGGCTTTTGATAAATATAGCCCTGCCTTCATAGAAGTATGTTCACTTCAACTTGATACATCCCTATGAAGAGTAGTAGAATATACATCCTTGAGAAGATGTATGAGAATGGGGTTTGTAGAGTGTGAGGGAAGTGGAGTATAGGGTTGTGT